GTACAGGGGTGCAACCCTGGGCAGGACTGGGAAGGGCATTCGGGGTGGCTCCATCTCTGCTGGAACGGAGCAAGAGCGAAAGTTCAAGATCACAGATCACACAGAACCCAAGGGTGTGGGAGTGACTGGCCGACCAGCGGAGAAGGCAGCGCTGCAGGGTTCCGCTGAGCTGGACAGTGGATGGAGAGGAGTTGGTGGCCAGGCAGGCGGGGAGCCCATTAGCCGTGGCCCGGGCTTTCTGCATGAGGACAGCGCACAGGCCTGGGCCAGCTGCTGCTCTGTGACGGGGGGACTGTCCCCTCGGCAGGGGCGTCGGCAGCAGTCACTAGGCTCCAGGCCCCTCCTTCGGGGGCGACCAGGAAGGTGGGCAGACAAAGCCCCACGTGTCCTGGGTAGCCGAGGCCTGGCGCGGTGAGAGGGCAGGGGGAGAAGATGTCGGGACCGGGCTGAGGACCTTTGCCACGGGGCCAGGAGAAAGGCTGGGACAAGAGCCAAGGAGCAGAGGGACTGGACACGGGCCCCGAGGGAGGTCTGTGCGGAGCCCCTGGGTCCCCGCTGACCGGACATGCACGGGACAGGCAGCGGCCGGCTGCCGCAGCTATACCCCGATCTATTTTTTTTTCTTAAATTTTTATTAGTGAAACACCATGAGGTAGAGTTGTAGACTTACAAATTTTTGTGCTTGGGCTTCAGTTATACAATGATCGAGTACCCATCTCACCACCAGTGCCCATTCTCCACCACCACGGGTCCCAGTATCCCTCCCTCCCCCCATCCCCCCTTCCCTGATCTATTTAAAGGCTGCTCGTAGGAAATGGAACCAACAGGTGCTGGGGCCAGGCCAGTGCACCGCAGGGAGGGCGCGGGCCCCGCACACGGCCAAAAAAAAAAAAAAGAGAAAAAAATGGAGCAGGCGTGCGCTCAAGCCCACCCAGAGGACACGAAGGCCCGGCTGAGTCTGGAAATGAAGCGCCCAGGGTGTGTCCCCTCGACGCCCACCCCAGGCCTGTGCCCACAGGGTAGCTGCCAACCCTCTCCCCACACACCCCTGCAGCTCTGCCCCCAGCCGCTTTGCCCTGTGGGTTGAGGGTCCTAGGAGCCAGTGACCACCTGTGAAGGACATCCCTGCGTCTGAGAGGCCCTGAGCATCACGTGATGCTCTGGCACCTAAACTCTGTCCCGGTACTCACCTGGCCGGGGAGACACCGTAAGCACAGAGGTGGTCTTCAAGGAGGGGCTTCTCCATCGCCCTCCAGAAGTGCTGACCCTGCGGTTGCCCCAAATGTCGGAAACCCGACTTTTGTGGTAGTGGTGGACTGTGTTTGCATTTTCCCCTGTAAAAATAATAATAATAATAATAATAAGGCCCTCCCGTTGATCGTCGATTTGCTCGAGCGGGCCCAGTAACGTCTCCATTGGAGACTTTGTTGTTACTGTGTCTGGCATATCAAATACTCTCGGTAGCTTGCCGGGCTCTCCGAGAGGGGCAGAGGAATCGAACTCGGGTCGGCCATGTTGGCTGCGTGCAAGGCAGATGCCCTACCCGCTGTGCTATCATTAACTTTAAAAGTAAGCACCACCCCTGCATCTCCCCTGCCCCCCGCATCCCTCCCTCCAGAAGACCAGCTCTCTGTCAAGGTTTCGTGTCCCAGCACACGATGGGCTGCTTCAGTATCATGTGGGTGATTTTCTTCATCTTGGAAAAAACCCAAATACACTTGGGTGTCTCCCCCAAACCCATCTCTCCCGACACCACAAGTAAAATCAGATGATATCACAGGGGAGGGGTGGGCGCAGGTTAAGTGCCCTTTAATTTTCACAGCTCTGATCATCGGAATCTTGAACTAGAGGACAGAGTGACGTCCTCCAAGAGCAACAGAACAGGATCCTAGGTTGCGAACAGCTTCAAGGAGCCCCTGGAGGAGGAGGACCAGCTGCTCTGTGCTGGTGGTTCCTGAACCGATGAGTTGGACACCCAGCAGCGCTACCTTGGCATCTATATCCAAGCCAGGGGATTCTCCGCAGCCCCTAAAACATTGCCGCCCCAGGGGTTCGCTCGAGTGTCAGAGGATTGTGCTTGAAGTCCACACACCACAAACTCTTCTTAGCAAATACCCAACCATCTTGTTTCCTTCCTAGAGAAGAAAATAATAAATGCATTTTTTCCCAGTATTTTCTTTATAGAAGACTTTGGCTGTTTTTAAAAAAAAGTATTATTCCTGACTTTTATTTATTTTGCTTTTTGGATCACACCCGGCGATGCACACGGGTTACCCCTGGCTCTGCCCTCAGGAATTACTCTCGGCGGTGCTTAAGGAACCCTATGGGATGCTGGGAATCGAACCTGGTTGGCCTCGTGCAAGGCAAACGCCCTCCCCGCGGTGCTGTCGCTCCAGGTTCCTTTTTATTGATGTTTTGCAGCCAAATAAGGGAGGAACAAGAATGAGCTGGTGCTTCTAAGTACCCGCGGGTTAAGACTTGGCCTCCTCAGCCATCGTTTCGAACGGCCAGTTGTGGTGTTGGTGGGTACACGGCCGTGAAAGGGGAAGAGGAGAGCGGGCGGGGGTGTCGGGCTGGGAGCAGGGCCGGGGTCTGTCCGGACGCGAGGATGGCGTGCCAGCCGCCGCTGCCTCCCTTCTGGGTCATCCACTCACTGACGCAGCAAACAAGTGTCAGGTGGGGCGGGAGAGTGACCGAGCAAGGCCAGCGGCGCCTCGCCCTTAGGAACCTCCAGTCAGTCACAGGTTTATCAGCCACACGTTCGTTCCACAGGTGATTGTTTCCTTCTCAACGAACGCTCTGAGCCTTTGCCACACTGAGGCACCAAGAGTCATCCCGGAGCGAGCCAGGCAGGATTCTTGCATCCCAGGGCTTACGTTTGGCAGTTAAGCAAACAGCTGAGACAATCTGAGCCAAGCAGACACGTAAGAGCACCCAGGCCCAGGTCGGGGAAGGGCCCACGGTGGGTGGGGGTGGTGGGAGGGGGACGCTGGCACCCAGGCTTCCTGATTACGCCAACCGAGGCCGGCCGCAGCCATGCTGAGGGGCAGGAGGCGGCGGCTTCTGGTCTGTCCCACACCAGGCCCTCATCCTGGAGCTGACAAACGCACACGTTTGTTTGGGTGTTGGCGAGTTGGTAGGTGTCAGCTCTGTCCCACGCCTGAGACTAGGTGGCCTTGTTCAAAGCGGGTAGCTTTGAACCCCCTTGTCCTGGGCTAAGGTTTGTAGATCAGTTGGTTGTTTGGATGGATGATGAATTTGTAGTCTGGGGTAGGTAAGGGAGAAGGTGGTTGATTGGATGGATGGGTGGATGGATGGATGGATGGATGGATGGATGGATGGATGGGTGGATGGGTAGATAGAAGGATGGATGGGTGGGTGACTAGATGGGTGGATGGATTCGTGGTTTGGTGGATGGATGGATGGATGGATGGATGGGTGGGTGGGTGGATGGGTAGATAGAAGGATGGATGGGTGGGTGACTAGATGGGTGGATGGATTCGTGGTTTGGTGGATGGATGGATGGATGGATGGATGGGTGGGTGGGTGGATGGGTAGATAGAAGGATGGATGGGTGGGTGACTAGATGGGTGGATGGATTCGTGGTTTGGTGGGTGGATGGATGGTTGGATGGATGGATGGATGGATGGGTGGGTGGATGGGTAGATAGAAGGATGGATGGGTGGGTGACTAGATGGGTGGATGGATTCGTGGTTTGGTGGATGGATGGATGGATGGATGGATGGATGGATGGGTGGGTGGGTGGATGGGTAGATAGAAGGATGGATGGGTGGGTGACTAGATGGGTGGATGGATTCGTGGTTTGGTGGATGGATGGATGGATGGATGGATGGATGGGTGGGTGGGTGGATGGGTAGATAGAAGGATGGATGGGTGGGTGACTAGATGGGTGGATGGATTCGTGGTTTGGTGGATGGATGGATGGATGGATGGATGGGTGGGTGGGTGGATGGGTAGATAGAAGGATGGATGGGTGGGTGACTAGATGGGTGGATGGATTCGTGGTTTGGTGGATGGATGGATGGATGGATGGATGGATGGATGGGTGGGTGGATGGGTAGATAGAAGGATGGATGGGTGGGTGACTAGATGGGTGGATGGATTCGTGGTTTGGTGGGTGGATGGATGGATGGATGGATGGATGGGTGGGTGGGTGGATGGGTAGATAGAAGGATGGATGGGTGGGTGACTAGATGGGTGGATGGATTCGTGGTTTGGTGGATGGATGGATGGATGGATGGATGGATGGGTGGGTGGGTGGATGGGTAGATAGAAAGATGGATGGGTGGGTGACTAGATGGGTGGATGGATTCGTGGTTTGGTGGGTGGATGGATGGTTGGATGGATGGAGGAATGGGTGAGTGGGTGGATGGGTATGGGTGCATATGTGACTGGCTGGCTGGATAGATGAATGGGTAAAGGGATGGATGGAACGATGGATGGGTGGGTGGGTGAATGTATGGGTGGGTGAATGTAGGGGTGGGTGTATAGATGGACGGGTGGGTATGGTTGTATGGATGGATGGCTGGGTGTATGGATGGTCGCGTGGGTGTGTGGACGGGTGGGCGGGGGACAGGCGGACGGAAGGATGAACGTGGACCCTCCTTGGCCTGGCTTGGCCTGGAGGCGCAGGCTCCTCTTCAGGGGGCGCCGCTCCCCGGCCCGCGAGAGCCCCGGGGTGCTGCCGCGCCGGCTCGCAGGCCGGTCCGTCCAGCGGCCTGGCCACGCCGGGTGCGGCCCAGACAGAGGTCAGCGCGCCTGCGCGGCCCCCGCCCGCCGGCGCCCCGGCGCTGCCCCCGGCGCTGCCCCCGGCGCTGCCCCCAGCGCTGCCCGCGGGCCCGGGCGGGGCGGGGCGGGCGGGGCGGCGGCCGCGCCGGCGCAGTCGGGGCCGCGGGCCGCGTCGGGACGTCCGGGCGCGGGCTCGAGGGCGCGTGCGCGGGGCGGGGCGGCCGCTGTCCTGGCCGGCCGGACGTGCGCACCGGGCACCATGAAGATCTGGACGTCGGAGCACGTCTTCGAGTGAGTCGGGCCGCCCGCGGCCGCTGCTGGTTCCGCCGGGGCGGGCCGAGTCCCGGAGCCGCTTCCCGCCGCGCGCCCCGACCCCGGCGCCCCGCTCGGGGGACCCCGCTCCGCGCGTGGGACCCGGTTGGGCGAGGCCCGGCGCCCCCCGGCCGCGTCCGACGGGGGGGACGGGGGCCAGGGAGCCGCAGCCGCGCGGGGCCCGGTCCTCGCCTCCTGGGCCGAAGCCTCTGGGCACTGACCACCTGGGCCTGACCCCTGGGACTGACTCCTGGGCCTGACTCCTGGGTCTTAACCCCAGGGACCTCACCCCTGGGACCTGGCCCCAGGACCTCACCCCCCTGGGCCTGACCCCTAGGACTAACTCCTGGGTCTTAACCCCTGGGACCTCACCCCTGGGACCTGGCCCCAGGACCTCACCCCCTGGGCCTGACCCCTAGGACTAACTCCTGGGTCTTAACCCCTGGGACCTCACCCCTGGGACCTTGACCCTCGGACATCACCCCCTGGGCCTGACCCATAGGCCTAACTCCTGCATCCTAACCCCCTGGACCTAGCCCCTGGGACCTGACCCCCGGGACTAACTCCTGGACCCAACTCCCTGGATCCTAACCCCCTGAACCTGACCCCTGGACCTAACCCCCGGGGTCTTAACCCCCGGGACCTGACCCCAGGCACTAACCCCTGGACCTGATGCCCAGGTCCCAACCCCCTAGGGCCCAGGGCTCCTGGGCATTCAAGCACTCTCATCTGACCAGGTCCCCACCAAGTGGCCCATTGGTTTGGGGCCCGGCCCGGGGACAGGGTTGGGCCCCAGGCAGCCCACTTCCAGCCCGCAGTTATTAATTTTTCAGAGGTGGCGGGCGCGGTGATAAGCGCAGGCCCTGGGATGGGGCGTCGTGGAGACGGGCAGAGGGCTCCACTGATTTTCATTTTAGATAGTTGCCTTGGTAACAGTCGGAGCGCGCTGGGCCCGTAGCCCGTCCATTTGGGGGGACCGTTTGGATTTATGGAGCCGCCCTGCTCAGGCACCAGCATCGATTGCCGGGAAAGGCTGGAGATTAGAAACAGAATGAGGTTCATTTATGTGATATGATTGGGAAAGCGAAAACATTAAGAATGCTGTCACCGGCCCACGGCTCCCGGGGCCGGGAGGCTTTGCGCGTTCTTTCTGTCAATACGACGCCGCTGCTGGGCCTCGCTTGCGAGAAAGTCGAAGGAGATGAATGCCCACTCATTTTTGCTTTTAAAAAAAAATAACGCACCGTGCTCCATCAGCCAGAGTCAGCCACCCCGAGCCCAGGAGCGGCTCGCATGGGTGTGGAACGTACAGCATCCCGGTCACGGAGAAGCCGCGGAGGGAACAGACGTGCTTCACACGGAGCGTGGCCCAAGCACGTGTCCCTTTACAGGAAATGAAGCTGCCGGGGCCCATTTCAGCCCCAGATGATAAGCAGGTGCTTATTATATTAGAGAATAGCAGATTAGATGTGCTTCAAAAACATTTACTTGTCCCGAGTGACCTTTTCGGAACAGAAGTCAAAATCAGCCCTTTGAGGACCGCTGTTATTACCTTGACGGGGAGAAGAACCTTTTTCACATTACAGTATTTAAATCAGTGAAGCCTGGGGTCTTTTTGGAATCGCTTTAGAGTTTTCAGCGCCTGTAACTCCTTTTTTTTTTTTTAAAGTTTTTTTGCTTTTTGGGTCACACCCAGCGATGCACAGGGGTTACTCCTGGCTCATGTACTCAGGAATCACTCCTGGCAGTGCTCAGGGGACCGTACAGGATGCTGGGAATCGAACCCAGGTTGGCCGCGTGCCAGGCAAACGCCCTCCCCGCTGTGCTGTCTCTCCAGCTCTGCCTGTAACTCCTTTAGAACGTCATGGCATGGATGAACTGCATTCTGTAAATTGTGTTGCCCATTTCTTTCCGAGATAATTGGTAATAGATTCTGGCGGTCAGTGGTTCTTCGGAACTCTTTGCCTGTGGGAGTAGGCATGGGTGACCAGGAAGGATGGGGGGGTGGGGGAACCTGCACCAGGTCGCCTTGCCGGACCTGGGCTGTGCCCAGTGCCCTGTGCCGGCGAGGTGACCGCAGCCCGGACTCACTCGAGTGGCGGGAGGGCCTCAAGCATCCTGCGTCCCAGAAAATAGTTGTCCCAGGGTGAATTGATTCAGCACCCACGGGCCCGGGCGGGGTGCGGGTTTCGTTTGTCAGCGTGTGTCGGTTCCCTTGACAGCCACCCGTGGGAGACGGTGTCGACGGCGGCCATGCAGAAGTACCCCAACCCCATGAACCCCAGCGTGGTGGGCGTGGACGTGCTGCGCAGACACGTGGACGGTGCCGGGAAGCTGCACAGTCTCCGGCTGCTTAGCACCGAGTGGGGCCTGCCGGCCGTCGTCAAGTCCGTGAGTCGTGGGAGCCGGTCCGGCGGGGGGGGCGGGGGTGCTCTTGGCGGCGGTCCCAGCTGTATGATACTGAAATTGCGTTATGAGAGTCGGATGAGTTGGGAATGTTCCAGGTGTCACAGACCCTGAGTAAAGCCTTGAGGAGCCCCGACAGCTCAGGCACGACAAGCGTGTCCTGTCCTCGGGCCTCGTGGCCTTTGCTGGGGGCTGGTCACCTCCCTGTGCTCCACTCGCCCTCAGCGGGGCCTGCCTTTCTTTCTTTCTTTCTTTCTTTCTTTCTTTCTTTCTTTCTTTCCTTCTTTCCTTCCTTCTTTCTTTCTTGCTCTCTCTTTCTCTTTCTGCCTTCCTTCCTTTCTTCCTTTCTTTTCTTTTTGGGTCACACCCAGCGATGCTCAGGGGTTCCTCCTGGCTCTGCACTCAGGAATTACTCCTGGTGGAGCTCGGGGGACCCTATGGGATTCTGGGAATCGAACCTGGGTTGGCCTCATGCAAGGCAAACGCCCTCCCCGCTGTGCTATCCCTCCAGCCCTATCATCGGGGCTTTCCTTGCTAAGGTGTATCTGGTGGGTTATTCCCTTTGTGACAAAGGCATGACTGGGGTCGGAGTCGGAGCGACACAGGCCGGGACTGACGGTCCCCTTGCAGAGCCGAGGGAGGCCGCGACAGCGTTGCAGGTTCCCGGGGCCCCGGTTCCCCCATCCAGTCCCGTCTCTCCCGGGCTGCGGGCACCTTGGGCAGCACTGAGTGTCTGAGCCCCTGCGCGGCCCCGAGACCGGCCTCCTCCCTCCCGGCCTTTGTCACATCCGTCAGATTTGTGGTTCAACTTGTTAGCATGTTTTTACTTTCGAATAAAATCCCGCCGCGCTTGTTAAGAAAGCCGGTCCTTCCTGATTCCTAATTCCGCACGTTTTACGCAGATTATTGGCGAGGCAAGAACCAAGACGTACGTGCAGGAGCATTCTGTGGTCGACCCCGTGGAGAAGACCATGGAGCTGAAATCCACTAATGTGAGTCGGCGCCGCGCCCACTTCCCTGTCTCTTCTCTGGGGACACGTGTGCGGCCTCCACACGGGAGACCCACTGGGTGCTCGGCTCGGCCTTGGCTTCTCGGCACAGTGCTCAGAGGGATTGTCGTCGGTCCTGTTTGGTGATGCATTTAAAAACAAACAACGGTGGGGCTGGAGCGATAGGACAGCGGGGAGGGCTTTTGCCTCGCACGCGGCCGGGTTCGATCCCTGGCATCCCTTAGGGTCCCCAAGCAGCGCCAGGAGTGATCCCTGAGTGCAGAGCCAGGAGTAACCTCTGAGCGTCGCTGGGTGTGACCCAAAAAAAGCCAAATAGATAAATACCGGGCAGCGAGCAGTGAGGTATCGTTCCATTCGCACGGCTGGTGTGCAAGTCGCTTTATCGGCTGTTTTTCTTTTTACGTGCTGGTGGCAGGATCGGGGTGTGTCGGACTTGGCTGTGTCTTTGACCTGGGTTTCCAAAACGACTCGGCTTTTTTTATTTCCCTCCTGTAGATTTCATTTACAAACCTGGTGTCGGTAGATGAAAGGCTTATATACAAACCACATCCTCAGGACCCGGAGAAGTGAGTAGGCGAGTGCGCCGGGCTGTCTGTCCTGGAGGGCGCTTCCTTCTCCCCCGGCTCCTGTTCTCTGGGAGAGGCGCGCCGGGCGGTAAGGCTGGGCTGTGTGTGTTACAGAACTGTCCTCACGCAAGAAGCCATCATCACCGTGAAGGGCGTCAGCCTCAGCAGCTACCTCGAGGGCTTGATGGCCAACACCATCTCCTCCAATGCCAGCAAAGTAAGTGGGCCTCAGGCCGCTCGGCCCCCCACCCCCCACCCCGGCTCTTCCGCTTGGCGCTCAGCCGGGGGCAGTTAAGTTGCTCTCCGGGGCCTCGGTTGACCGTCAGACATGAAGAGTAAATTAACAGGATTCTGTATCTGTGCTCTGAAACCTGCAGAGTGGTGGTTTCAGACCCCTTCCAAGTCGGGGCTGGAGCGATAGCACAGCAGGGAGGGCGTCTGCCTGGCACGCGGCCGACCCGGGTTCGATCCCCAGCATCCCATAGGGTCCCCCGAGCACCGCCAGGAGTAATTCCTGAGTGCAGAGCCAGGAGGAACCCCTGGGTACCGCTGGGTGTGACCCCAAGACCCCTTCCAACTCATGTTTGCGCCATTGAGAACTTGTGATGTACAGCAAAGCAAGTTTAGGGAAATAGATGCCCCTGAGCTGCGTTTTAGGACGTGTTTGATCTGGTTGTCCAAAAAAGACTCCTCGGCGCCTTCTGAATTAGATTGGGGCTACACAGCGTAGCAGGAAAGCTCTCAGGCAGGAGCTAGCTAAGAGGACGCCTGCCCTTGTCACACCGCGGGTCCTGAAGGCGGGGGTCAGAAGGGTTGGCGGGAGCGTGTTCAGTGAGTGCAGTCAGGGTGCCCTCAGGCTGAAGGGGTTGGTGGTGAGGGGCGCAGGGGGCAGTCAGGGCCGGGGAGCGGTCAGCAAAGGCCATGCGGCGGGGAGCAAGGACTACTCGTGAGCACTGGAGCAGGAGCACGCTCTGGAGTTGGGACCAGATGGTGCATTTGGCCAAAACTTGGCTTCGGGGCTGGAGGGCAGGGGGCAAGCTCCACAGGAGGCCCCCAGGCCAGTCCCCGTGTCTCTTGGACCCTTGAGAACATACTCAGAAGGTTCTCCCAGCACAGGGGGTGTGACACTCAAATACACTGAAATAAACCCAAACGTTGGGGGGCTGGAGGGATAGCACAGTGGGCAGGGTGTTTGCCTTGCACATGGCTGACCCGGGTTCGATTCCCAGCATCCCATCTGGTCCCCTGAACACTGCCAGGAGTAATTCCTGAACGCAAAGCCAGGAGTAACCCCTGAGCATCGCCAGGTGTGACCCAAAAAGCAAAAAAAAAAAAACCCCAAACATTGGGCAGGGGGATGCCCAGATGGGGGCCCCTCTAATAATCTCGGGCTAGAGGGCACCACTCGTTCCACTGTAGATATTTTTTTTAGAAGACCTTTTGCATACATAAAAAGATTTGTGTTTTTTTTTTAATTCTTTCGTGACATTTCTTTATTCGTAGGAAACCTACTCATTCTTTAGGTATCAGGTCTTTTTTAGGTTTCAGATAGTACTTGTTCGTAGTTGGTAATTTTGACTTTTTTTTAGAATTTTTATTAGTGAGACATCATGAGGTACAGTTGCAGACTTACAGATTTTTGTGCTTGGGTTTCAATTATACAATGATCAAATACCCGTCCCTCCACCAGTGCCCATTTCCCACCACCACGGGTCCCAGTATCCCTCCCACCCTCCCTCTGTGGCAGGGCATTCCCCTTTGTTCTCTCTCTCTTATTGGGTGTTGTGGTTTGCCAAAGAGGCAATGGGTGACAATCATGTTTCGAGTACTGGTTGAACCCCACAAGAAGTAGACTGTAGAAAGATGTGTTTTAGGCCAAGCCAGTTGCCTAAGGTTTTGGGATATGATTTAAAAAAAAAAAATACTAGGGCCCCAGCAGTAGGACGGCGGGTGGGACATTTACTTGCAATCCCCAGCAGCCGGTTTGGTCCCCCGAGCCAGGCGGGAGTGATCCCTGAGCACAGAGCTGGGAGTCAGCCCTTAGCACCACCTGGTGTGACCCAGGAGCCAGAATACACTCGTGACGATAGTCGATAGTCGCAGAAAGAAGGAAAGGGGGGGCAGAGGGTCCCTCCGGGTGAGGTTTCATTAGGCTGGCGACGTTTCTCTTTCGTCTGTGCCCTCTCTCGCTCACGGAAGTGTGTTGGATCTTTTAAGGGCCGAGAAGCAGTGGAATGGGTAATTCATAAATTAAATGCTGAGATTGAAGAACTGGCGGCCTCCGCACGAGGAAGCATTAGGACCCCGATGGCGGCCGCAGCGTTTGTGGAGAAATGACGACCGGCCCCAGCAGCCTGTACCCCGGGTCCCAGCAAGTTGGCAATGTATTTATTTGCTATTTTTAAAAGACGACTATATTCTAGTTTTAAAAAAAGAAGTTTCTAACAAGCGGAAGAAAATTTATTTACGTGACTTTTGATCAATACAAAGAGGTGTGGGCTTCTCAATAAAAAGGGATTGTCCAAAATTAGTGTTGTTGAAATTACCACTTGATTTTGAGGATTCCAAGTGTTGCCGCGAAAATGGAAGTTTCTCCCGGGAGCGCTCCCCGCTGTGGATCACCCCAAAACAAGGCAGAGCCACCTCGTAACACGCGTGTCCTGCCGTGGGAAGTGTCGGGAGCTTACGCGTGGGAGCTCACTTGAGATGGAGAAACTGTTTAGGTTTCAAACATTTGTGTAAGATTTGCTTGCCCTTCTGTTGATCACTGGAGAGGAACTTAAATGACGTTGTTGGAGTGAAAAATTATCACTGTGGTAATACATGACCCAAACAAAAAATAAGATTTTTTATTGTATTAAAGAGTACTGTATTGATTTGCCAAAATTTTTGTAATTTAGTAAAAGGTATTTCCTTCCTTGGATTTGTACTTTATGATTTAATATGCTGTACCGTGGGTTGGTTATGTTAACTGCAAAAATAAAGTCATTACCAGACTTTTTGTGGCACTCTGAACTTAAACAGCTGTTCACATCTCTCAGCATTTCACATTCGCCCTAACTTATAAATTGCCATGTGTCAAAATCATGGTTCTGTAAGTGCTAAAGCATGATCTGTCAGGTTATTTGAATATGATTACTTTCGAAGTAATTGCGACCACAAAGCATCTTTTTTCACACCGAGAGACATACACCATTTGAAATCACTCAAATGATGTCTTGATCTGAAGCAGAAATCCCAGGTACTTTAATGTTTTTAATAACGCGGTGCCACTGCAGAGGTTGGGGGCGGTGGAGAAGGAAAATAGAACAGTGTATGTGGGGGCGGGGGGGAGAAGATTGACCTAAACCTGTAAGGGAATTTGAGGTGTTGGCTGGCCTCACACCAACCAAATCCGACCCTTGCTTCCCGCACCCGAACTATTTTGCCTTTGTGCTACGCGGGATGCGCTGGTCAGGGTTCCCGGCCACAGAAACCAGTGAACGTGTACCCAGTCCCAGAAACAATAATAACTGCTGATTTTTAAAATTGGTGTTTTTCGGGGCTGGAGCGATAGCACAGCGGGTAGAGCGTTTTCCTTGCACGCGGCCGACCCGGGTTCGAGTCCCAGCATCCCCTATGGTCCCTCGCGCACCACCAGGAGTAATTCCTGAGAGCAGAGCCAGGAATAAACCCTGAGCATCGCCGGGTGTGACCCAAAAACAAAACCAAACAATTGGTGTTTTTCTAGGGTTCCTTAACAATACTGGTTCTAAAGAATCAAGTTGAGTCCAGTGCTGATTCTCTGGAAGCAGAGGCGGTTCTCAGAGTGGAAACAACGTTTCGCCGCGACTCGATACAAAGTTGCATCTTGTATCTGTGCAAGTCACACTCGCGCGGCCGGACGCGCGTGGCCGCTCACACAGCACCGGTGCCCGCGCGGCTCCTTCGGGGCCACTCTGGCTGGACGGGCCCCCGCCCGCACTTCCCCGCCCAGCGCCCGCCCCCCGTCCGGGCCGTGGGGGTCGCGCAGGCCCCGGCCCGCCCCCTCCGGCCGCTACGGAAGCCCGCGGGGCCCAGCGCGGACCCGCGCAGCCAATCGGCGGGCGCGGCCGCCCCGGCCCGGCTCGGGATTGGCTCCGGGCGCGGGTGGGGCGGGACGGGGGCGCGGGATTGGCAGGCGCGGAGCCCCGCCCCTTCCGCTGCGCGGCCTGACCTTCCTGCTGCCGGGCTACGCGCAGGCGACATTGCGGCGTCCTCCCCCGACAGCGCCCTCGGACACCATGGTGGCCTACTGGCGGCAGGCCGGCCTCAGGTGGGCGCGGGCGGGGCCGGGGGCGGAGGTCACGCGGGGGCCTGTTCGGCGGGGTCGAGGTCACGCGGAGTCCTATTCGGCGGGGTCGGAGGTCACGTGGGGGGCCTCTTCCGCGGGGTCGGAGGTCACGTGGGGGGCCTGTTCGGCGAGGTCGGAGGTCACGTGGGGGGGCTCGTGGGCGGGGGTCACGCAGGGGGTCTCGCCAGCGGGATCAGGGGTCACACGGGGTCACCGCCCCTGCCCCCCCCCCACGCGGGGCGAGTGTCCGGCCCAGCGCGCATCTGTCCAGTGGAACCCGCCATGGCAGAGGTCAGCTGCTGCCTTGCCCCTGCCCGGCTCCGAGGCCCAGAAGGTGGCCAGCACCCACGTGCCCCGCGTGGACACGACGCGTGCACGCCCACGGCCACCTCGGAGCAGGGATGGACGCTGCCCTCTACCCGCTGGGGTGGACGCGGGCATGGCCTTCTCCAAGGCTCTGCTTCAGCGCAGAGTCCGGCCAGTGCTCGGCCCACGCAGGATTCCCGTGTTGGGATGGGGGCGGGAGGCAGGCCTGGGCCTTTTTGGTCATGGGTGTTGGGGCCGCACCCAATGTGCCCAGACCAATTCCCTGGGGGTCAGCGGTCCAAGCGTGGGCAGGGCCTTACCCACTGAGCCACCCCGCCCAGCCACGGGCCAGGCCTGCTCCCCTTTGTCTCTGGTCTCTGTACAGGTGCCTTTGGGTGCAGGTGGCAGCAGAGGCCGGTTCTGTGGGCTCCGCGGAACCGGAATTCGCAAACGTGGGGAGGAAGGTGGAGGCACCGCAGCCACGGCGGCTGACCAGCTGACCAGTCCTGGTGACCGGCCCCTCGCTCACTGCCTCGTGCCCCCTCTCTTCCAGCTACATCCGCTACTCCCAGATCTGCGCCAAGGCAGTGAGGGATGCTCTGAAGACGGAGTTCAAGGCCAACGCCGAGAAAACCTCCGGCAGCAGCGTGAAGATCGTGAAAGTGAAGAAGGAATGACCTGTGAGTGGCCAGTGGGTGACAGACCTGTGGCGGGGCGGGCGCGGGACGCCCCGTCCGGAGGGCGGGCGTGGGCTGACGGGCAGCCTGTCCTTTGCCGGAGTCCTGGGGCGTGATGGAAGAGTGGTCAGGGGCCCTGCCAAGCAGGTGTGATGGGCACATCGATTTTCTGTCCATCCAGCCATGCTTGGGTAGATCTTGTTTTAATTAAACCCTTTTCATTGAATTAAACCAAGGCAGATCATTCAGAGGACAGTCGACACCTTGGAAATGGCTGGATCTGCAGAACAACTTGGGAGCATGAAAAATGACCTTTTTTGTCTGTTTTTTGTGTTTTCCGCCCCCCGTATCTGCCTTCGTTCTCACCAGCACGAGGGCCTGGGCATGAGGCTGCCCGCGCACGCACGCGAGGGTCCTGCCGTCTCTCCGCGTGGGAAGACCTGGAAGCTTTTGGGCTTTTCAGAGTCTTGGGTTCATGTTACTTCTCCGGACGTGTTGGCAGTGCACAGAGTTCCACCTTTTGCAGTGAAAGACGGTCCGGTCCAGCCGACAAGTTTGGACTTTGTGCTCCAAACTCTGAAAGTGATGAGGTTTCCAAAGCACTTCCTCTGACATTGTTATTTCATAGATAAGCAAATTGCCGTGGAGAAGTTTTTCCGATTTAATTGTGTCTCGTGTTGCTGTTAAGAGGCTTCAGGCCCACGGTAGCAGGGGAAGGTGATAGATATTAATCCTTTGGCAGCTTGTTAGGAGTCTCACAGATTGGAGCTGTCTCCCCGAAGCACTTTTCATTTCGCCTTGAACTAGTAAATATTTTATTACGCGTCTGCAGATGCGGAGTTTAGAATTTCGCCCTTTTTCTCGAGGCGGTTTCTCTCCTCATTCTGGGTAATGAGGCCTGGTTTCCTGTGGCATTGTTTTGTTTGCACAAAGGGCCGACTGAGAGCGGGACTGGCCTCCTCGGAGAGCCGAGAGCCGGGAGGGCAGCCACCTCCGTGGACCCCGCACCTCTCCGCCCCTCCCTCCTGCGGGGGAGAGTGCCCAGTGCTAGAATGGTCCTGGGCTTCCCCAGCAAGCGCCTGCCTGACTTCGGCTGGGCGTGAGCGCGTGAGCACTGTCCTGGGATGAAGCTAGTGATGCGCGGGGTGAGGGGTCCCGGGCCTGTGCTCCCGGGTGCAAGCTGGGAGCAAAAGTACATCGGCCCGGCAACTATCGCTTTTTCCTTTTTCCTCTTAGACCCTGGCAGGAGCTTGAAGGGCCCTGGTGAAGATGTGTGGGCACGAGTTCCGGCGGAGTGAAAGCCGTCTCCCTCCTTAAAGAAAAAAAAGCGAAGAAAAATGCCTGTTTTGTTCACAGATTGACAGCCGACAATAAATTGAGCGTGGTTCTCTCACCGCTGCTTGGCAGTGCCCGCCGCCGCTTTCTTTATAGGACCTGCCCCGAGCACCAGGTTCCACCGTATGAAGTGGGGGCGGGGAGGGGGGGCGCGACGTTTTCTAAAAATGTTTCGAAATAGCCTCTCGTCACGTGAATGGACAAAATGGGGCTCTCTGTAGCTGGTGGCAGGGGTCACCGGGTGTTGGGCGCCTGGCATCAGTGCCCAAGTCTCGGCCTTTTGTGTGGGCTCCAGGCCTCGGGCCGGGAAAGTGATAAATTGCTTTCGTGTTTTCCTGTGTGGCAAGGAGGGTTGGGGGGAGCTATTGAAGCGGGAAGGGGTCCATCAGCGCAGGGTGTGCCTTCCCAGGGCCCGATAAGGGGTTCTTTCTATTCCGGCGGCATTTCTCTGAGGAAATGAGACCATCACAGAGAGATTTGCTTATCCAGTTGGTGGCCGAGCTGAAGTCAAGTCGTGCATCAGGGTTCACGGTTTGGGGGGTGAGTGGCGGTTTGTCTTCCTTTGGAATTTAGGGGCCCTTGGCTGGGTCCATCTGGCACCACAAAGCCCAGGGCTGGGTTTTAGCTTTGAGGGGAAACGGAGAAAGAGAAATTTCTAGAAGCGCAGTGAGCGCCAGCCAGCCTTCTCTGCTGCCGCTGGCTGAGGGCCGGGACGGGGCAGGTTGCGCCTAACCAGGGCTTTGTGGGATTCCCACGGAGGCCCCAGGCGAAGGTCCTGGAAAGCATCTTCCACTCCGGGCGAGGAGCGAGTGAATCAGAAGCCCGTCGGCGGATCTAGTCGCAGATAGAGCCAAGGGCTCAATTATTCCCAGCTGAGTAATTAAAAGAGAAGTCACTTGTTAGGGGCAGATGGGATAATTAGAGGCGAGACTTGGGGACGGGGCTTGTGATTCGAAAGGATTAAAGTCAAGTAAAAGACAGCCACTGCCCAGCAAGAACTCCTCGAGGCTCCGCTGAGTAACGTCCCAGACCGATTCCCGGCTGCAGCACAGCCAGGCAGAGCCGGGCAGGTGGTTCTGTGGAGTCACTCACCTGCCCACGGCCGCGGCTTCTCCCTCAGCCTGTGAGGCCGGGTGCTCCGAGAGGAGCCACTTCAGGCCGGGCCGACTTCCCTGGCTCTCGAGTGTTTGGTTTTGTTTGAACCTATTTACACACTACAAAGCACGGCGAGCGGTGTTGTGTAATGTTTTCCAGACACTCAGTCACTGAGCCCGCTGCCCTCCAAGGAAAGGCCTTTATGTAGCCTGAAATAGCGACCTAGCCCATTTTACGTGGAATTTCTAGGCCATTTAATGAACACCATTGAG